AAGCTAAATGCCAAGTATTTCAAGAGCCTGAAATTGCGCCTTAGTTTATGTATAAGCCTGGGTGCTCTGGCATCAGGTAGAACCGGAGGTAAGACTTTGTTGGCTTGAAAAGGCTCATGGGAGAGAGATGCCAAAAAGCCTTAGCATTTATTTCTGCATGGGGAAGAATGACCATTTCAACTTTTAAGTAACTGTCCACAGCAACATGGTCATTAACCGGAGTGGCCCAACCTGGGGAAAGGTGAACGAGGTGGAAAAATCAAAGGACCCGTGGCAAACCCGGTTTCCTGCTTCTTCCTTTGGCTCCCGCTCCTCGTCCTGGCGCGCTCCAACACCAGTGTTTGTGTTGAGTGAGTCTCCAGCTTTGTGCCTGGGTTTTTCAGCCTTCATGTCAAGGTACTCCAAGATTTAGTTATCTTACCATCATCTTCCTTCCAGTCAATAAAATAGTCTTAAAACCTTTGAAGTAGTGGGTTCCAATGCACTTCAGTTGACTTCTGAGAGGATAGTTTTTCAAAGCAAGCTCCTAGCGTGCCACATCACTTCTCTGCTTGCTTTCTTATTTTTTTACAGTTATGTAAATTCAAGGAGGCCAGACAGTAATGGAGGCAGATTAAAAAGATACCATAAGGCAAATCAGGGTGTGAACTTGCAGAGCATCAGCTAATTTGCAGAAACTGCCCATGTGTGTGCTCCTACCCTGCAGATCCCGTCAGCAATACCACTTACCTCTGATTTCCTCCGGGCTCAGAGGATACACATGAGCAGTTACTCCAGTCTCGTGGATGTGTAGCAAGTTACAGCCTATCTCACCCCAAGGTGATTTATTCATCTGTCTGTATCCTCAGTAATCGAGCCACCATCTTACGGAAAGATTGCCTCTCATTTATTTATGTCTGGCCTTATAACTTCAAACTAAGTTGCTAGTATGTCTTAATTTTCTCCATCTGTGAAAACAGATGCTGTTTATTTTGGATGATTTGCCAAGGGAGTCCAATTGCTGGGGCTTGTTACAGGAGTCAAAGTTGCTGTTGCTCCGTGACAGTGCTGGGCTCGCTGTCTCGCAGGCACTCCTGATGAGCCCCTACATCTGCTGGGCTCCGAGCTACCCGCGAATGTGCCCATGGAGCCTCGAGCTCCAGGACTTTTTTCCTTGATATTCACTACAAGGATTTTGACTTGCAGCTTTGGAGCAAGACTGGTGGTGCTACCCACAATGAAAGAAGTGTGAGATTCATCTAAATCTTCTATTCTCAATTGAGGACCGTTTTGTTTCCTCTCTGCGTGGGACACCTTTGTGTCTCACCACATGGCCTGTCCGCACAGACACTTCACATTTTTTTCAGAAACATGCATCTCTTGGCAATGCCACCTCAGGCAGTGGGTTGGAGGCACGCTTAGACTTCCCAGGGAAGATGTCTTCTTTACAGCGTCCTCGCTGAGCAGAGGCTCGCTCTAATCACTCATTCAGTTTTGGGCAGGATATGATGCTGTTCAAGAGCTTTACCAATATTATTCTTCCTAACGAATGACCAGTCTTTTGCAAAGTGGTTGGTTCCTTGCAGGGGGCCTGATCCCCCTCCCCACTCACGTGGCGCATTTCATCAGGCCAGGTGTTCAGTGATACAGAAAAGATTTGAAGATTTGGTCAGTCATATAGGGTGTGTGGGAAGAGGCTTGTGGCTGATTGTTGTCCTGAAAGGTGCTTCTCTTCAAGCCCAGGAGGGTCCGGCTGTGGTGTTAAGGTGCTAGCCCAAGTTCAGCTGTTGGCAGCCAAAGTTCAGTGGTTGCACTGGGGACTTGCTCGTTGCCCCGTCTTTGTTGCAGGTGGTTTCTGCCAGACTCCTGGGAGCCTGTCCACAGAAACTTTTTTTAGTAACCAATGTGTTATTGGCCAGCCAGGCCAGAGGAAAGCTCAGGGATTTAGGATCCATGTCATGGGGAATTTGAATTAAGAAAACCCTGATCAAGAAGGGGAGTTCACCCAGCCAACTGCTCTCTAGGAACTTCACAAGTGCCCCATGCAAAACTCCTGGTCCAGCTCCCATCTGCTCTCCCACCTTCTCAAGGACTCCCAGAAAAGCAGAAAGCATTTGTCAGTAACCATCCAGTCTCAGCTGCTTGTTTTCTGTCTATCAGGTGGAACTGGCAAGGAAAAACCAGACCTGCCTGTGCCAAGCAGCACCGCAGTACAGCACCAGGCAGGGAGGGTGGGTGACTTCTGCTGGCATTCAGTTGCCCAGCTGCTGCATTTCATCGCTTTTCTCCATAAGGTGATGGCAATGTCAGGCCTGTTTCTCCATTGCCTCAAAAGTCACGAACTACAGAGTTTGAGGCTAAAGATACATGGTTTCAAATCCTAGTTTCCCCAGGGCTTCACCTTCTTTGTCCCATTATCTTCTGCAGTACCTCTCCGTCTTCCGCAGCTTTTGAGGTATTTGCACATCTGAAGGGTCAGAGCGAGGGCTTTGCAGCACAGCAGCTTAGAGAAGACAAAGGCAGATTTTCTTTTGCTGGCTCTCAATGCTTGAACCGACCTGCCTTCCTGGGAGAGCCATCCGCCCGCTGCTGGAGGTGAAGGGTTGCTGGCAGAGAAGTGGGGAGCTTGCAGGTGGCCACTGCCCCTTTAAAAAAAGAAAGTTATGATTAAAAAAAAAAAAAAAAAACACCAAAAAACAACTGTGAAAAGAGAGACTGAAGGGGAGATGAGAGAGAAGCTCCGTGCGTTTTGGTTGCTTTCAGTGTTAGGCATGGTTCCGGTCTTTTCTGTTTTCATGGATGGTTTGTAGAAGAGCGGCCCATGCTGAGGCAGTGAAACCCAGGGGAGGAAGGACATGGCTTTCTTTAAAACTGGGAGATGTGTTTTTTTGGTGACCCTTTTTTCTCCTAAGCAAGCTGAAAAACTCCGTCCATGTAACTCAAAAGCAAAAAAAAAGAGAGAAACTTGGGAGCTGGGATCCAGGGCTCAGGTCTTCAGCTCAGTTCTGCAGAGGTTTTTTGGGCAGGGTGGGAGGCAGGGAACGTGTCCCGCTCCAGCCAGCCCTCCGCTCTGCCCGTGGCCGTGGTGCAGCCCGGGCACGCCGGCAGCAGCATCAGGCCCTTTGCACGATCCTCAGGGCTGCCTTGTGCAGAATTGGGCCCTACAGCCCATGTTTGGCTAGTAATAGCTTCCCAATTACATTTTAATGCAATTTAAAGAGACAGGCAATTAAATAATTAACCGTAGGGAAGAGGTTTTCTTCTTTCCAAATCTTGTTAATGCAAATATTTTGCATCAGGCCACCCATATTTCAGGAGCAGGCAGCAATTCTCCTTTTCTTGAGAAACACTGACCTCCAGTGGGACTGCACCTTTATCGCAGCTGCTCCTGGCTCTTTCCTGAGCCTTTTATTTGGGGCCTAGAAAATGCAAATAGGGGAAAAAAATAAATCCATGCGTTCTGTCTGAAGCATGTGCCACCTCCCTTTCCCTGCAGGCAGGTTTGGTGCCTTACGAATAACATAGGAATTGCATTTCTGACAAAAAGGGGGAAATTTGCACCGGCCAAGCCCCTGCTTCGTGGGAAAGCAGCGTTGGCTTTGGGTATGATTTCATTTGAGCCCCCATCGCTGCTGCTCTGAGTCCAGCCCTCCCGGCCAGGCTCTGCAGGGCATCGAGCCCTGTGCAAGGACCCCCTCTGCAGCCGGTTTTGGGGTGCATGGGGCAGCTCCCAGCCCAGCAGGACTGGGTGAGCTGGAATTGAGCTGCACACACTTTGCACCTCTTGTCTGAAGTCTTCAGAGAGGGTAGGAGGCTCCCCAGGCGCAACAGTCTGCCCTCGCTTCTCCTCCAGCACGGCTGCTTCCCAGGCAGCCTTTGCATTTCTTGCTCCCTGGCTGTTGATAAATGAGGATTTTTGCCTTCCAGCCGTCTGGAATTCAGGGGAATAATTACCACGGGAATTATCAGGGAGGAACTGGAACAGCTGGGACCTGAGCTTTCACCCACCTGGAAATCCAGGCACAGAGATGTATCCTGCATCCCTGCGGCGGGGAGGCTGGTGGTGCAAAACGCAGGGTCTGCACCTTGATCTGAGCTTTTTTTCAGCCAGGCAGAGGCCCAGGCATTGCTGGCAACAAGGGAGAAAGGTGAAACGAGCAGATTTCTGCTGCAGGACAGGGCTCCTGCTTGCTGATGCTCTGTTTCGGGATGGATTTGCAAACGAAGCGAGGAGCTTGCCCCGCGGTGCTGGTCCTGCGCCTCTCGCTGTAGCTGCGTTTTGGCCCTGTCTCTCCATTGCTTCACATTTGGGCTGGGGTTATACGAGGGGAATGAGAGGCTTTTGTTTTGCTCCTGGAGCATTCCAGCCTGTTGTGGTTAAGGGCGTGGGTTTTACTCTGGGGGGCAACTGGAAAGAGGGCTCGTTTGTCAAAAATTGGCTGAGCGGGGATGCTGGTGGCTGCACAGCCTTGCCCAGCACCTTGGGGCAGGATTGGTCTCACCTGAGCCCCTCCTAGGACATGTTCCCCACCCAGCTCCAACCCCCTGTGGCACTGTCTGTGCCGTGCGTGCCTGTCCCAGTGCCCGCGGCTGGGGATGTACTGCCCGGAGCCCACCTCCATCGCACCTTTTCTGTGCAGACCAGACCCGGGGATCGGTTTGTGAGCTCAGCTCCCCTTATCCCTCTCCAGGTCCTCCCGCTCTGCCCAGCCAGGGTGCTGCCAGGTACCCCTGGGGCACTAAAAATATTTTACCAATGCATTTGAAGCAGCCATGCCCGTGCAAGCAGCTGCCTGCTCGCATTGCCTCCAGCACTGGGACATGGCGCTGGTCCTGCCTGGGGATGGCTGCCCACAGCGTAGTCCCTCCTGCTGCCCCCAGAATTAAGGGGAAAATGGGGTTGCTGCCTGTGAGTTGGCTTTGCTGCTCCAGGTGGGGGTTTCTGAGCTTTCTGGTATCCCCTTGGGAAAATTTGGGGTTTTAGGCCACCCCTGGTTGACGGCCGTGGCTCTGTTTTCCAGTGCGCTGTGCAGAGCTGCAGATCCAGCTGACGGAGGCTGTGTCCACGCTGGCTGGCCAGAAGGAGCTTATCGCCAAGCTGGAGCATGACCTCAGCACCATCCAGGCCCTGTCGACCATGCATCGCCCGGATGCTGAGGTAACCCCAACTCACAGCGCTCGGCTCCTGGCAGTGGGTAGGGACCACTCAAAATGTCCCTGGGGGTTGACCGTCACTGATGGAGGGGCCAACAGCAGGCATGAGGGTTGTTTTATTACCTCTTCTTTTTTTTTTTCTTCTTTTCCCCCCCCTCTCTTTTCTTTCTTTCTCACGACTCGCCCAGCAGAGGGTTGCATCGTGCCCATGCAGTGGGATGGTGCTGGCGTGGGAGGGGTAGCGGTGTTGGCATCCAGGGACTGTCCAGCCCTTCTCCTTCCTGGGGAAATGACGGGATGTGAGGGTTGAATGCCAGCCTCTCTGTGTTGTCTCGGGCTTGATCCTTGCCGAGTGCCTGTTTGGCAGCAATGCTTCCCATGAGGCTGTGGGTGCCAGGGCGGTAGCAGGACCCAGAAGGGGTTTGCTTTGACCAGGCACCTTCGGGTGGGTGGGAAACGCTTAATCCCTTGTGCCTCTGCTGCCCAGGGTGCAGCCGTCCCCAGCCTGGAGAAGATACCTGAGCCCATCAAGGAGGCCACGGCGCTGTTTTACGGTGAGAGGCGGGCGCGAAGCTGGGGCCATGCTGCACACCAAGGTGCTGACGGGTGCCATCCGGTGCCATGGGCAGGGTTGTCATCTCCGGGCATGGCGGCATGAGAATGCTGCTAAGCAGGCACAGACATCACCTGCTCAGCGTGTCCTTCACTGGGGTCAGTGATGAGTTTTCCATGCTTGGCAGTTTGCTGGTCCTCCGGCTGCTCCTGAGACAGCGCAGCGGGCCCGTGCCGGGCCTGACTCCGTGCCAAGCTGGTGAACCCAGGCTGAACCAAACACCCTGTGCTTTAACTCCTGCTCTTTCCGCACCAAACCCCCTCCAGAGCCAGCGAGCTAAACATTTCCTTTACGTTGGCTCCCGCGCAGAGGTCTGCAGGAGAAAATGAATCAAACAAATAACGACACTTGGCTCCTCTAGAAGAAAACCCACTTCCTTTCCTTTTTTACTTTTTTTTTGTTCTTTTTTGTTTTGAAAAGTTTTGAAAACACACAGTAAACAATATCACAGCAACAGTCCCACCAAGCCAAACAACCTGCAGCCACCCATCCTGCGCTATGAATAGCTCCTCTGTGCAGCCGGTTGAGTCACGGCCTCGGGGACATATTTCTCCTTGGCTGTGGATGCCTCCTGCTGCCGGGAAGGCAGAGCGGGGAGGGATGGCTGCAGCCCCCTGGGCACCTGCAGAGCCCCATCACGGGGGGCAGCTATGTGGGGCACCCACAAAATGGGGCTCCTGGGCACGGCAAGCTGGCGATGGCTGTGGGCGAGCAGCCCCTGCTTTGCTGGGGTGGCTGAAAGAGGAGAAAGTACAAAACGGGGGTGACTGTTTTGCAAGGAGGGGAAGGGGAGAGAAGAGTACATGGATGGAGGGGCTGGTTGTGGCGCTGGGTCTTTTGTTAGGGCTACGGCTGCTGCAGAAGCTACGGGGGAGAGTCTGGCAGGGACTGCGAGGGTTGGGGTCGTGGGAAGGCAGCCACGGGTTGCACCAGATAATGCAATTAGTCTTCCCTGGGGACTGAACCTGTCCGTTCCCAGGATAAGTCCCAAAAAAATGAAAAAAAAGCATAAAAAATAGTCCATGTTGTAGTAGCTGTGCACAGGAGTTTATCTGCCTGGGTGCCCCTGAGGTCCCGCGGTGTCAGAGGGGGGACCTTGAGCAAGCCCCGCTTGCTCCGGGGTGGATGGTGAGCATCTGCTGGGTTGTCTCTCATGTCAAGCGTTGTCCGCAGGTCACCCGCCATCCCCCGGCACCTCGTTCCCCGAGGGGCAGGTGGACTCACTCCTCTCCATCATCTCCAGCCAGAGGGAACGCTTCCGAGCCAGGAACCAGGAGCTGGAGGGGGTATGTCGAGTGGGGAGGGCGGCCACGCAGGGGCTGCAGGACCTGCAGTCTGGAGCTGGCTCCTTTAATGACCTGTGGGGAATTTATTATCAGCACAACGCAGGCAGCACCATGGCAAGCAAGAGAAAAATACATTCTGCCGTTAGCAGGACCAAAGCCTTCCCCAGCCCATCGGTGTTGCTCCAATTCAAGGACAGGTCTAAATCCCTGTTCCCTTGCAGGTGTGCTTGGCCGTCTGGCACAGCTTTCGAGGGTGCCATATAAAAAGCACATAGGGAATGCGGTTTGGGGTAAAAACCCAATAGCTCTACAAATCGAAGTACAGCTCAAAATGACGTCTTCAAAGCCAGCAGGTTGGCTTTGCACGTCCCGTGTGGGCCAGGTCTCAGCCCAAAGCCACCCACAGCCACCTTGGCTGCCCTGGCCCATATTTAGCCATGGAGGGATCAGGTTTGTTAATGGTTCAGGACTGGGGTTCAGCTGCAGTTTTAATTTGGGAGCAATTTTAATTCAAAGCTGGGGGATTTTAATTACTGAGAGGGGACTGACCCCAGCTGGATGCACCCATCAACCCCGCTTCTGCCTCCCACCCGGTGAGATCCTGTCCTCTCCCCGGCCTCGCTGCTAACGGCCCCCTTGCTCCCCCCACGCAGGAGAACCGCATGATGCAGCACACAGTGCACGCCCTGCAGAGCGAGCTGGACAACCTGAGAGCTGACAACATCAAGCTCTACGAGAAGATCAAGTTCCTCCAGAGCTACCCTGGGCGGGTGAGTGGCTGTCTGCCTATGTGTCCTCCAGCTGGGTTCACACGCATGGACAGACCCCAAACAGAGACCATTGCCGTCTGTGTGCAAGAGCAATGGGGAAATCGCACATCACCCACATGCACCTTGCATGAAAGTTGGAAAATGGGAGCTAATTGGGGTGAAGAAGGGTGCAGTGCTCTGCGTAGAGGAGCACGTACCCAGCCCCTCTGCTGAGAAGGTAGTTTTTAACCATGGTGAAGGTTGTCTGACATCTTTGATGTCAGAAGCTCAAATTTTCTCCCTGAAAAAGCTGCTACAAACTCCTTTGATGCTCACTGCCAGCAGCATGATGCTCCAGCAGGCAAGTCGTGCATGCTCTTGCCCAACCAGGCAGCCAGCAGTTAAATTGGGACCTCCTGCAATAAATCCCTGCAGCTAGAGCCTGAAAAATAATTCATCCTGTCATACCTATGCTCATTCCCTGCCACCCTGAATTTCTCATGGCCAGCAGAGAGAGCTGCTCGGCTTCCCGCTCTCCTGGGCGGCCAGGGCCCCTTCCCAATAGAGCAGAAACCAACCCAAAACTGTCCCAGTAATCCCAGTAACGCCAGGAGGAGGCTGGGGAGCAGTGTCAGACCTTGCTGCAACTTGCTCTGCTCGTGCTGCATCCCTTGGGGGTTTCATCCCTGGAAGTCCCTGGGGCTTTCACAAGCAGGTCAGGCTGCCACCTGGGGATCTTTCAATTGCAACCACTTCCTCGGTCACAGCTGGGCTATCGTGACCTCAGGCTTTCCTAATAACTGCAAAAGTGACAATAACTGAGGAAGGGACATCGGTTCAAACGCTGGCTCCTCGCCCTGCCTGCCCTGCCATCCTCCCCCGAAGCTGCTGCCTTTCCATGCTGGCTGGACTGAGTCTGTTTTATTGATGGATATTTTAATAGCATTTGGGAATGGGAAACTCCTACAGCCGTGAAGGACCTTATTTGGTTCTTTTATTTATGTCTCAGTGATGACGCTGGGTCGGCCCCTCTGACATTTTTGCCCGTTTCTCCCACGGAAGATCATATCCATGTTTGTCTGCTGCCACAAGGCAACCCCTGAATGCCATTCACATGATCTAAAGAGCAAAAGCCTTCGACGCAGCAGCACGGGGGATTGCATAATTCACCCCCTAATCGGGCATGTGACACGTTAAAAATAATCATCAAAGATCATTCAATAAGGCCAGGCTATAGTGAATTCATCGCCCCTAAACTGGGAGCTGGTCTCATCGCTGGCTTCTGACGGCGCGGTGACCCGTGGATCGTATTGCAGCGCGTAAGGGCATATTTGCTAAAGGTCTGCGTGCAGCGGGGTTTACCCGCAGTGAAACGGAGTCACCGACCGGCGTGCTGGGCTGGCTGGGCAGTACAACCAGCAGCACGTAGTAATGGATCCAGAAAGCCCGCAGTAAATGTCAGCATCGCCGTGCTGGCGGAGCAGAGCTGGAGAAGGCGCAGTGCTGGGGGAGAGAGATGGATTAGCACCGGAGCCCTTGAGCAGGGATGTGCAGCCCACGTAGGTGGGAGCCAGGGCTCACACCAGACTGTGGCTGTGCCTGGTGACAGCACGTGCTGTCTCCAGGCTGGTTTTGGGTAGGAACGATGTGGAATCTGCAGTTCTCACGACCTGCAGAGGTAGTGTTGGAGAAAGGAGGAGCAGGGATGTGCGGGCTGCGTGAGCATCCTCAGGGCTCGCTGCTGCCGTTCGTCCAGTGCTGCCTGGGAATCTCTGTCCCAGCAGGAGTCTAAAGCCCAGCATGTCCTAACCGATCTACATCTTTCACTTCTTTCAAGGAGTTGCCTTCATTTTCCTTGCCCTTTGCCCAGCTAATAATAGCTGTATGTTTAAGCAATGATTTCCTCCTCCTAAACCGCTCTCTCCCTCCTACCTGGCCCAGCAGCAAAGGAATTCAGGGTGGGATTTGCACTAGCCCAGGCATTTCCAGGTGAGCTCTCTGGGGTGGATTCAAGGAAAGGGCAAAAAATAAGGGGACATGGGTGGAGTCCCCGTGGAAGAAAGGACTTTGTTAAACAGCCCCTGTTGTGCTTCTCCTTTTTGAAGGTGAGGGATCCTGTCGGCCCTGCGGGTCAGCTCTGGGCTGTGCTGCTCCATCCTTTGGGGGTCATGTCTTCCAAATGAGCAGCTCAGGGGGGCTGGGGGTCTCTGGCCCTGTGCTGGGTGTCCATCCACCGCTTGCACTGGCAGGGATAGGTACAGGCAGCTACGCCAGCACCGGCACCCGCTGGCTCTCACCCTGCCTTTGCTCCCTCAGGGCGGCAGCAGGGACGACACCGAGCAGCGCTACTCCTCCCAGTACGAAGAGCGCCTGGACCCCTTCTCCTCCTTCAGCAG